AGCGTGTTAGCTTAAAATACATCTTGGCTCCAGACAACAGTCTGATGTAAACCAGGTTTAAACATAGACCTGGTTGCAATGAAGTCCCAGGGTGGTTCAAGTCTAGGTTTCAGGGATCCTCTCCGACGGCCATGTTGGAATCTGAGCATCAGATTTAAGTGTCTGTGTGTCTCTTTGGAGCAGAACTCTTCAGCCTTGATTAATTATTAATCAAACCTTTTCCATTTCCTCAAAGGCTCCTGATCTTTGACCTCGCGCTCTCCTGTGTGTGTGTGTGTGTGTGTGTGTGTGTGTGTGTGTGTGTGTGTGTGTGTGTGTGTGTGTGTGTGTGTGTGGTGTGTGTGTGCGTGCGTGCTGAACTCAGTTTATCAGCAGTTTCCTTTCTGTGTTCTGCAGATTTACTCATTTAGTTTCTTTATTTTTTTAAGTAGTCTCTGATTTTTTCTGGAGGTGTATAACATACATTTTACCCACTTAATAAATCTGTGTTGGGAATCATTTTGACTTAAAAAATGAAGTAAGGGAAATGACAACTTAGCAGAGGTCTCACTCTTTAGTTTTTTCTGGGAACAAAAACTCAACACATTATTAAATGTTTCTGTTTACTGTAACTGATATCTACATTTTTATATTTTTTGCATAAATACCTTCAAAAAATTCACCCAACATTTGGCAAGCAAGTACACAACTTTCTGTTTAGATGCATTGTGGGTAATGTAGGCTCAATGATTAAAATGTTGACGAAATAGTCTAATGCATTTAGCATTGATTTAATCCTTTCCATTCTAAACTTTCATCCATCATATTTGAAAGGTGCTATTTCAGGATGAGTCTCTGAAGCAGATTTAGCTTCTGAGAACATCGACAGTGTGGAGGTGAAGGTCAGAGGTCACAGAGCGACCCTCAGCGATCCGTTTCAGACTTTTTGGCTCATTCACAGATTCTGAGAGATGAAAAAACACTTTCTTATATCTTTATTTTAAAGTTGTACTCGTGTGATTCCCTTGCTGACCCAGTTTCACTGATGTGGTGTGTTTAAGTGCTGCGGGGGAATCAGGAAAAACAAACTATCTGCTCTGAGACTCAACACGTTTATCTAAAAGTTTGAGCAATATTCCCACATAAGGCTCCTCCTGCACTGACTCTCAGAGGGGGATTTGGACTCTTTTAACTCTGTTTTATTTGACTCCTGAGCCCAGGAGGCCTCTTTAAGATTGTTAGTTTTAATACTAAATTAACATCATTTGTACACAACATATTTAAATGCATAATTTGTCGATGTCAATACATTATTATTCATGCCCTGAATTAAACAAACAAACCATATCAAATAAATTGATACTTAAATGATGCTGAAATGCTATTGATCAGTAAAATAATCTAATAAAACACTAAACAAGGCAAGCCTTAACATTTATTTTTATTATATTTATATATTAAGAGCTGCACACTGAGCCGTTTCATAATAAAGCTTCTGTACTTTCACTAAGTTCAATCTTAAATGCAGATTTCAACATTTTAAGGTCAGTAATTTCATTAAATGCAAAGATAACAATAATGTTTTTAACAAATACACAAATAGTACCTAAATAATCTTCCTCTACAATCAGTTTTTTATTGCAGTATTGTTGGGTGTTTTCGTTAAACTGAATATTATCAAGTTGTTGAAAAGATTATTCAAACAAAAACAGCAAATATTCAGTAACAAAGAGATTAAAGGTCCCGAGCAGATGAGTAATATGTTCTTAGTTTTGTTTAAAAAACACATCTAAGCTGGCACACAGGATGACGTGTGGTCTTCGCCCTCCTGTGTTTGAAATATTTCGCATCAGCCCTTGCTCCTCCCGGAGTTTGTGAATCCTTCATAGACGTCCGAGCGGCGGGTTAAACTCTGACGATGTGTGTTTTCTTGACGTGTTGGTGACAAGCGACTCTTTGTCACGGAGCTTATCAGCGTGGAGCAGACGTGTTCGCTGCCATTGTATCTGTTTCTGTTTCCCATCATGCTCAGCACACGCATAGAAAGAGACTGTGACGGTTTCTACAAGACCGGGCTTTAGGGGGTCGCTGAAGGGTTTGAGTGACCCAAAGACAGCATCAGGTGTTAAGTAGACCTTACTGGATCTTTTTAGATTGTGACTCTTATTGTAACCACGCTCTGTCGTCATAGCAACTTTGATTAAATTCACAAAGGCGTTGTATTGGTGTCCCGGTGTGGGGTCAAATATGTCATTGTGTTGCAGAGGCATGAAAGGCACGACATGTAAACACTCAGACATGCACACACACACACACACACACACACACACACACACACACACACACATTACCACAATCTCCACCCATCACGCCTCGGTTACTACCTTTGATGCTGGATCAGGAGCAGAACTACTTTACCCCACCATTGTGCCTCTGTTCCTTTTAACGTTGCAAATGAGGCGTAACAGGCGTAAATATCCCGCCTTGAACTGCCAATGTATGAGGGACAAATGTTACACATACAGAATACAATACAGTAGAAAGCCACACACAAGTAACATATAAGCACAGTGAATTAATTGTCTTGAACCAGAATATGTTGCACTGGTACTGTAGATATGTGATTATTATTTATTAGTTGAATATCAAAAAGGCAAAAAATATCATAGGCATTGCTGGTTGAGTTTTGAGCTTTAGGCAGATGCTAGCAGTTTCCCACGGCTTTTAGAATTTATGCTAAGCTAAGGTAACCAAAACCTTTTCTTAGATATTTAATTGATTGGTTGATAAATAGCTGTAGCACAAAGAGGGTGTGGCTTTTGTGACACTTAAGCACACACATGCACAGCCAAAGCTCCCTTGTGTTGCCCTGCTTTGTGTGTGTGTGTGTGTGTGTGTGTGTGTGTTTGTTTGTTTGTTTGAGTGTGTGTTCGTGTGTGCACAGCATGCAGGCGTGTGTGAGATGGTGGAATATTCTGACCTCTGGCATCATTCCGGAGATGAGGAGCATCAGGACTGCTAGCATGCAGCCTGCTGTCATCACATCGCACACACACACACACACACACACACACACACACACACACACACACACACACACACACACACACACACACACACATTAACACACACAGACACAGTAAGGTGTGCTGGCAGGATGGTCAGGGAAGATGCCATCAGTCTCTCTGTGGAGCAGCAGATCATTTTGGAGACACCTGAGATATTTAATAACCTGAAGAATATCTCAAAGATAAATAAAGATTTATTGTAATTATTTGGTAAACATGTCAGATATACAGATGTCTGAATTATCTGATAAGAAAGCTGCAGAGAGAACAAAACACAGTAATCCAAACTGGAAGTAACTGGAATTATAAATCAAACCGGAGAGGAGAAAAAGATCTGATAGCGTCACCAGACTTTTTGTTTTTGTTGAATTTCTTTACTGTTCTGATTTTTAATTTTCTGACTCTCACTGAACGTGTTTCTCCTCTGTGTCATCTGAGTTTTTCAAAGTTTAGACACAACAAATCGGTCTGTTTCTAAATGTTCAAACCTAAACATAGCCTGACTACAGTACCCATAACCCCCAGAACAGACGGGCCACGTTTCAGTGTATCATGCTGCATTCATGTGCTCTTGGGATGATCCCATTCCCCTGGTGGTTCTGACTTTGGTGTGTTCAAGAACTTTTCTTTTGTTTGTCATTCTCTCCTTTTGTCTAAAGAGTTACTCTGATGTCTGATCTTCATGAGACAGAGGGTGAAAGTTATAGAATACACACTGAGACTGTAGCATCATTTTTTCGGAAGCAAGAGTGTGTTTGTCCTTCTCTGTTTGTGTTTGCATGTCCTCTGCAGAGTAAGCGTGACGCAGGGTGAGGGCGGGTGAGGAGGTGTGGGGGGGAGGAGAGGGCTCACAGGGACACGGTATCTGCAGTCTGACCACAGAGAAACAGAAACAGAACCAGAGAGGCAGAGCTGCAGCCAGAGATGCTGCTCTATGCTAATAAGTCTATCTTTGGATCAACATGTTAGAGCCTGTTTACTTCTGCTGTTGATTCATAAGAGATGATAAGATGTTTTAGCCTCTTGGCATGCTGATTAGTTAATGTTATGACTTTGAAGGAGAGTAAGATGCTTAGGCTTAACTCTTCTCATTTAATTAACAGGCTGACATTAGCATCCAGTAGGCCTACTAAATTAAACATTGAAATAGCAGGCTAGTCTTTTAAACAATAAAGATTATTATCAGCAACCTGCCATAGCTGCAAAATGATGATCATAAATAAATAATGCTGCTTGACTTTTGTTACTTTTGTGTAACTTATATCAGTTATAGTTTGAGATGAGGCAAAACAAGCAGGCTAACATTAGCTTCAGCCCGCTAGCTTTTTATGCACTAAAGAAAAGAGGCGGTTTTAGCATGTTAGAGGACTTACAAGTATTTTAAACATGTTTCAACCTGCTGAAGGCATGTTTAAGATAAATAATGACTACAAGGAAAGACTGTTAACTTTTAAGCTTGTAGCTTTTGTTTCATATAGCCTAGGTCATTAGTTCATAAGATGCCAGTGAAGCTAACTATAGCATCAACCTGGTATCTCGTAGGTTAGTTGTTTGGTAGAGTTTAAATGTTCTTGTGGCTTTCTGTGTTTAAATTAGTGTTTGTGAACTGACGGGATGGCTACCGTCTCACCTGTCGCAGAGAAGGATCGGCTTCACTGATGAAACATGATGTCAGGAGAGAAGAGAGACTGTACACACTCGTCTCTGTCAATAATAAACAGAAATCCAATCAGTGCAATTTGAAACCGTTTACTTTCATGGATTGTTTGCTTAAGTCTGAATCAGCTGCTGACCTCATGTCACCTCAACTATACCTCTCTGTCTGTGTGTGTGTGTTTTAATTGTGATGCAATGAAATATTTAGGAAAAAATGATCTCCTCGAATAATTTGAATAAAATGACTTTGATTTACTCAAAACTTAAATATTGTGCTTCTGTCTTGTGTGTCTGCAGGCTAAGGACAGTGATGATGATGAGGAGGTGGTGCAGGTCGACAGGGACCGCTTCATGGATGAGTTCTTTGAACAGGTGAGGCAACACACACAAACACACAACACATGTACAGGTACATATAACACAGTATACATGATGTTCTGGAAACACTGAGAGACCACAAAACAAGATTCACATATTCAATTATACAACATTTTTTATATGCTAAACAAGGTAACCTGTGGTTTAATGTCCCCTTTAGTTGTATGAGCAACAACCAAATTTTCAGTGAAGCATTTAATCCATCCAAATTTGACAAAACTACTACTTTAAACTACTTTAATATTTTGGCACATTGTGGAAAAAAACAGGAGTTTGTGTGGCGTGGGAGAGCAGTGACCTTCAGTCCACTGCGGAGGGTAGATTATCCTCCTCCGCTGATAGACATCGACTCCAACAACACTCAAACACATACACACACATACACACATGCGCACAAAGATTTAATGTTAATCTCCCACCTGAGGGCAGGAAGCTTCAGAGCCGATCATCATCTTGTGTGTTTGTGTTTAGCACAACAACAAAAAAAAACACACACACTCAAACTGATCATCAGAACAAACACAGGCAGTCTGATTGTGTGTTTACTGGTAGTTTCTGAACTGCTTCCCCATGAAGGTGTAACCGTGATGTGTGTGTGTGTGTGCAGGTGGAGGAGATCAGAGGCTGTATAGAGAAGCTGTCGGAGGATGTGGAGCAGGTCAAGAAGCAGCACAGCGCCATCCTGGCCGCACCCAACCCTGACGAAAGTAAGACTCGAACAGTGCTTTAGCTGTGAGGACCTTCACTGACATGTTCTTCTTTTCCTGATGCTCTATATTCCAGGTCTGATCATGTTGCGTTAAAACGTTCTGTCGGTGACAAGAATCCAACACCAATAGAGTTAATATCTGAAATCTCTGCACACTGACATCAGCAAAAAGAAGAACGATCAGATAAACATGGAAAAGGCTGGAAAAAACAACAACTCTAACTCACTGCAGTAAACTTTTAAAGGCTTTATATGTGATTTTTCACACTTAAATCTAATATAAATGAAGTATATCCTCTGAAAATAACTCCCACTGTCTGTGATGTTTTCCTAGTTTTCTGAGTCCTATCTTCAGTTTGTTTACATCGCCAGGACAGCCGGCTGACTCCTCCCCTCGCGTATAAAAGTTGTTTAATTGAGGGACTAGAGAAAAGAAGAATAACATACTGTACTCACTGCTTAACTGTGTTTCTAGATCACGCTCATTTCAGGTAAATTTACATGCAGTGTGAAGATACCAGCATAATAAAGATCGCTAGCATTAGCATGCTAACACAACAATGCAGCGCGAGTTGTTTTGGTTTCATGCTGGTGCTCAAGGGCGACATCTGCTGGATCAAAAAATCCAGATAGATTGTAAGATAAGTCTTTAATTTCCTTTCTTTAAAAATCCACGCTTCACTGTTACACATTTGGAGGTCTAAATGATTAATGGGGCCACATCACTCTCTTCAAAGCCACCCACAGTAAATACACAGAAGGCCTGCCCTCACTTCTTCCGTTTTTTCACTCCTTTCTCTTCTCCCTGCTGCCTTCCTTCCCTCCTTCTTTTCCTTTCTCCTTCCTTACTTCCCTTTTTTTCCTTCTTTTCCTTGCTCCTTTCCTTGCCTCCCTCCTTCCTTCCTTCCTTCTTCTACTTCCTTAACCCCAGCCCACCTCCCCCTGACACATCAGTGAAAATCAAATCGTCAGATAAAGATAGAGAGCTGTGTTCACCGTGACCCTGCTCACTGTGACTCAGCAGCACTGACTCAATGTCACCGCTGAAGCCCAGAGCCAAGTCTGTGCTGTCACAAACACTACACTGTAAAACAAAGTCTGGATGAAAAAACATTTTTTTTTGTCCAGGGGTGGGGCACAAAATCCTGCACCCTGTTCATAGTCATCCTCTGAGGTTATCTCCGAACAAGTATGGCCATCGGGTTTATCGTCCGATCAGCAGCCAGAGAGACCTCGAGGTTTCATTTTGAGACTTTAAACAAGGAAGCCTTTAGCTTGTTGCTGGGCAGATAACGACACGTCCTGTCACTTTAAGAAACCACTCCTCGCAGATTCATATCCCTTTATATCTGATTGATGCAGTTCAAGGTTATCAGAATGCTAATACGCTGATACTTTAGTTTTATCATACTATTACGATCAATAGGACTAACGTTTTACAACCAGCTTAACACTTTGTTTTACCATGTTCATTTTAATTTTAGCTGGAAGCGACCATATTTGGATAAAGGGTAGATAGAGCCTGCTTATCATGAAAAAAAAACTCAAATTCATGAAAACCAGAGTTAATGGTCACACGCAGTAAGAGTCAAAAATTACAACCTGCTGAGCGTTGGCGGTAACTGCGCCAGAGTATTTTTTTTATCTGGACAAGCCACTCTCTCGGGCTAAATACAGAGAGGAAGCTTCGATAAAAACAAAAGCTTCACATTTGTAAAAACCTGATCGCAATTTATGTGCAAGTCATGGAGCTAATAGCAACCGCGATCTATTCTTAGTGAACCCCCCCCTTCCCCCCTCTGATGGCAGCTTGCACTAGCTCCTCTCTGTTGGTTAAAATAGTGAGTCAGATATTCTCTGGGTCTCTCTTCTCCACACTCACAGACTCGCAGGCTTTGAGGTGTGTTCCTGGTATAAGTGCATGAGTACTTACTGTGGAAATCATCAAGTACATGAGGGCTCTTTCAGTTTAAAATAACACTTTTCATGACTCCACATATCTGCGAACTACACGTGGAAAAGACAGTTCTTTGCGCGCTTGGTGAAGTGAAAGACATGCAGCCGTCACCTAAATGTAAAGAAATGTTGATATATTGAAGCAGTATTCAATAAGGTTTGAGGAAAATGTAATGAAAGCCAGCATGGACATGAGGGGAAATCAAGTAAGTAAAAGTAACAATGTCTAGCCTCTAGTTTATTACTTTGTGGTATAGCATGTTTGAAGAGATGTTTGTGTTTGTTCCAGAACTTCCCTGAACACATTAAGACAATAAGATTGTTGGGTTGTTTTTTTTTTTTTTGCTAATTAGAAGGAGGTCTGTATTATTAAAATCCCGGCTCCAGACCTGCTCTTCTTTGGCCGACTGCTGCTGTCTGCCTCATATAAGCTCGTTCCTGTCTGCTATAAATGATTAGATTTGAATATTGGCAGCCCAGGACTTCCTTAATGAACGCCCGTTGGCTCTGAATCTGTGTGTTTCTTCCTGCTCGTCTTCACACAGAACCTCAGTTACATAACAACAGAATGAGACACACGTCTGTTTCTTTGTTTGACATCTTTTCACACTGCGAATGTGTTTTTTTTCTGCATGATTTGATTTCACATTGTTGCATGTTGATGTTTTCTGTTAATGCATGATCAATGATATTTTTTTTGTTTCTTCTCCATCCTCTTCTTCTTTATTTTTCCTTTTGAAACTTTTCTTCTTCATCGTCCATTTTCCATCCTTTTTTGTGATATTCTTTTCCCTCTTCCCTTCTTCTCTCCCTCCTTCTTTCCTTTCCTTTCTACTTTCCTTCTTCCTTGTGTCCTCCATCCTACCTTTCTGTCTTTTTACAGCCCATCCTTATATATCTCCTTCTTCCTCCCTGTCTTCTATCACTCCCTTTTACTTTTCTTTCTTACTTTTGCCCTTTCTTTCTTTCATCCTTCCTTTCCATCCCCTTCTTTCCTTCCTTCCTCCTCAGTCCCTTCCTTCTCTCCTTCCATCCTTCCCTCCTCCCTTCTGTGTTGGTCCATGTTGTCTTTTTGGTTGCATGCTGCCCGTGAAGTCTCTGCTGGTTGAAGTGTTTAAACTGAAGTGAACCTGCGAGGAGATGAGGATTTAACATCTGCCAACATGTGAGTGACACCTGATTGAACCTCTTCTCTCTTGTGATGAAATTCGTCACCAAACTTTGACCGAGAAGTCGAACAGCAACACCGAATAGCCGTTATAGTTCATGTCTACCTTCAGATACCACCGTCAGCTAGAGGGATAGTATGCAGCATCCAGTGGCTATTCTAGAGTCTGTTGGGGCCTTTGGCCAAAACCAGTTGGGGGGCCCTCCAACCAGCGTTCAGCAGGGCAACAAGAGTGAGTTCTGTCAGGGAATCCCTTAGGGAGGGGAAAGTTTGCACATTTTTGGCCATTGATTTAGGCCCCCTAATTGTCTGGGGCCCCAAGCATAGAGTATGTACTTAATGTACCTAAAGTAAAGCATAGAGTATGTACTTAATGTACCTAAAGTAAAGTATAGAGTGTGTACTTAATGTACCTAAAGTAAAGCATAGAGTATGTACTTAATGTACCTAAAGTAAAGTATAGAGTGTGTACTTAATGTACCTAAAGTAAAGCATAGAGTATGTACTTAATGTACCTAAAGTATAGAGTATGTACTTAATGTACCTAAAGTAAAGTATAGAGTATGTACTTAATGTACCTAAAGTATAGAGTATGTACTTAATGTACCTAAAGTATAGAGTATGTACTTAATGTACCTAAAGTAAAGCATAGAGTATGTACTTAATGTACCTAAAGTATAGAGTATGTACTTAATGTACCTAAAGTAAAGCATAGAGTATGTACTTAATGTACCTAAAGTAAAGCACAGAGTACTTAATGTACCTAAAGGTAAAGTTATCCATTATTTCACCATTCAACATACAACCACTTAGCCGTTTGCTAACTTGTTACCAAGGACAACCATAAGAAGGTTCAACAGTTAATAGCTGAAAAGGGACATTTCACCACCAACCATCGGGGAGTCAGACATATTTACGGCAATAAATCGATTCTCCACCGCTGCTTGTATACTGGGACAAGGACTATAGCCAAATTTAACGGCCTGATCGAGATAGCTGTAGCTCAACTTGACGCGTGCTGAATGATGAAACTCTTTCATCCAGTTAAAAGATAATGTTGAAAAAGTATTTAGTTTTATACCAATTAACTTAATCACAATCCAAATCCAAGATCAGTTTATAGCCTCCCCTGAGCTCAAAGTGTATTATCCCCACTACTCTGAAGGCTTTTATTGTGAAATATGTGTCAACAAGCAACTTTTGATGCCAAAACTTTCCTGATATTACTTGAATTAAATTTTTTTCATTCTTAACTCAGATATTTTGCCTGCACTGTTTTGACATATTTGAAAACATTTTAGATGAAAATTAAGCTTAATTTACGAGGTTTAGTGTTTAGAATTTTAGCCGAGATCGCTGAAGAACTGTTAATGATCTGGGATGAAGATGCAGCGTGCAGTGATGAAGACTTTGTCATATCAGAGTGAAATATTTGCACACAGATCAGAGCGGTGTTGCGTTCAAACTAGTCTTCATGTTAAACTGAGTCGACGTTCAGACTCCTCTTCCTTCCCGCGGTGAAAACATGTCGCTTCATTTCTTCTTCTCCTCCTCCTCCTCCTCCTCCTCACTTCTGGGTCAGCCGCTCTGCGCTGCAACACACCGGCACACAAAATGCATTCCAGTGTTTCTGCCTGAATAATGCATGATGGGAGTTGTAGTGAGAGTGGAGGGATACAGATGTAATTCTCCTTCTAAACCGCAGTCGACCATAAACACGCTGATACTCCTCCTCACATGATCCCTTCATTTCTCCTAGCCTCTGCCTCTCATTGGCTGTCCGAAGTGTCAATCAAAAGACTGAATTTTTTTTCACCTGCAGCCAATCAGCGGGTTTTAAAGAAATGAATGATCCACATTAAGGGCAATGTACAG